CCACATAGTTTGATACCAGCTCTGCAACTAGGGGCCTGGCTACACTTGCAGATGTAGAGCGCTGAGAGTTAAACCAGCCTTCGTAGAGCGCAGTAGGGAAAGTGCTGCAATCTGTCCACACCGATAGCTGCAAGCGCACTGGCATGGCCACATTAGCAGCTCTTGCAACGGCCACAGAGAGCAGTGCATTGTGGTAGATATCCCAGCATGCAAGTGGCTGCAATGTGCTTTTCAGATGAGGGGGGTGGGGTGGAGTGTGACAGGGAGTGTGTTGTGTGTATGTGGGGGGGGAGAGAGAGTGGGTTTTTAGGGGGCTGAGAGCATGTCAGCATGCTGTCTTGTAAGTTCAGACAGCAACAGATCCCCCTTATCCCTCCCCCCGCCCCTCTCTCTCACACACAGCATTCCACACTAATGGTTGCTTTGTCTCGGAGCATATAAGCATGCCGGCTGTCAGAAACAGAGCTTTCAAAGGGCATATTGGCATGCCTGCAGCTATTACAAAACAATGGCAAGAGTGGCCACTTGACTTAAGGGGATTATGGGATGTTTCCAGAGGCTGATCAGAGTGCAGTAATGCAACACCTCATTCACACTGGCGTTTCAGCCAATACGCACCAAGTGTTAATCTTCTCACCGAGGCGGAGTACCAGGAGCGCTCTACGTGCCTTGCCAGTGTGGACAGGTAGTGAGCTACGGTGCCCGGGGCTGCTTTAATGCACTCTAACTCGCAAGTGTAGCCAAGCCCTAGCACTCAGCTGTAGCTGGTGGAATTTCTGCTGAGTTTAATTGAATCAGGAATTGCATTGTTCAGGATACATATAATCAGCTACTGTTTGACTGGAGTGCTCCATTCTGAGCCAATACTTCTGGCGACCTTTTCAGGACAGCAATCATGGGGGTTCTTGATTGCACATCGGCATGGAGGCCCAGCAACACTTTAAAGGACTGTTGCAAAAACATTATTTCAAAGGGGTTTTGCTTGAAGTTGGGCATTTTCAAGGTAGAACTTTCAAACCCAAATGATTAAACCCTGATCCAATCAAGTCATTAAAACAAATCACAGATGGTTATTTTATGTTGTTCAATTCAATTAACTGAAAGCAGTGGGTCAAGCCATTCAAAGCAATCATCAGAATAAAATTCCTGTTTTGTATTTATGCACTACAAATTTACAGATGGATCCCAGCCAAAAAGTTCAGCATTGGAGGTGGACATGCCCAAAATTTAGGATAATTGGCTTTGGGGTGTCTAAATATGGTTAGAAGCCCAATCTACGCTCCTATTTTTTAAAATCTTCGCCAGGCTTTATGACTAATAGGGCAACGTTGTTCTTGGAGGTTCTTTTCCAAGGAGAAAAGGATTACTTACTGTATCAATATTGCCTTTTATTGTTTCTATCCTGCCCGCAAAAAACAGGAATATGGCTCCCTGTAATAAACAAAAGCAACCGTGAACAATTCTCATGCAGCTTATACATTATAGCTACAAAAACACTAAACTAAATTAGGATTCATCTTACTTTTGGATAGCGAGCCAAGTAAGGCTTGAGTAGCCTTTCTGCCTCTTCAACGTTTCCTTTCCCTGTCCCTAGATTAGTTGAGTAAAACAATGCAAATTATTAAAAGGAATCGGAAACAATAGCCTTGAGTAATCATCATCTGGACAATAAATAAATTCTCCCATACAGTAGCATTTAGGTCCAAACATAGGCCCTCATCCTGCACCACTTCAGACAGATCAGAAGAGGGCACCAAGAAGTTGTGCTTACATGGAGGCACCATAAAGGCAAACTGGTTCTGTGCTGGCAGAAATCTCCATGCGACATTGCTCCCTCCCTCCCCACCTCCTGGGATCCTCAATTCTGTGCAAGACAGAAAAAGAGAAAGAAAGTGAAAGTGGGCAGGATCAGATCCTGACTGTCCATTGCTTGGCTTCTGAATGGCCACGGGGGCACCCCCCATTTCCTAACACCATGGCAACTTTTTAAAGCATAGAACCATAAAGACTGGCATTGGAATAGGCCAGGTTTTTACTGGGCCACACTGCATGGCTTTTGCAGTTGCAAAGGGCTATGAGACCAGAGTTGAGGTATCCAATGACACATTTTTTCAGATACATTTAGCAATTATTCTAAAAACTGGTAGTATATTTGCCTAGGCCTAGCCCAATGGGACTTTGTCAAAGAGTGCTTTAGGGGTAGGCCATGAGTGAATGCATCATTTTAATGGGAAATACGTCACCCCAAGAAGACGGGGTGACAAATTAACATGAAAACAGGATTTAACAAATCTTTTTACAAGGACTTAAAAAAAACAACCACCACGCACACACTTCCAAAACAACTCACTTGACCTCAGGAAGTATAACTTGTTCTTGTGATCTCTTCTTATGGCAACACCCCAGCTATCCCCTCAAGTCCCCCTCCCAAATGTCCTACACAAGCCTCCATCTTCAAGGACAAAGCCCTTTCCACAGTGATGATAGTTATTGCAAAAATCAACCACCACAAATTATCCAACTCCGTCCAGTCCAGGTTTGAATGAACAATTCACCAACAGGTTTGCAATTTAACCACTTCTTCCCCTTGTTTCCCAGCAATAACGGATCACATGGAAGGACTATTACAGGGTTACTGTGAATAATCCTACCTAACACAAAGGTCATGAAGGTATGATAGCACAGCAGCAGCATGGTACACAGCACCGACCTAAAGCTGTACATCAATGCTCCCTCTTGAAGCTGCAACAGACCATACTCCTGTGCAAAAATTAGAGAAGGAAGACAAAGTCTTGTAAAGCAATTACAAAGCTATTTTGCTTTTAACATCTGTAGTATCATTTGTAGCTATACTGGTAGCTCAAACACATGGACTGCACTGTATATCTACAGCGGTGATATAAATTGTTTATGTAGTTATTATAGGAGAACACACGGTAATAGTTTCCAATGGAGTTATCACTTGACTTTTGCAAAATATCATGTGGCAGAGCAGAGATTCAGATAATTGTGCAGTTGAGAGTGCAATAGTGCTTACGAGTTACCAGTATCATCCAATAGAGCTAACATCATTTCTGAAAAATAAAATACACAGAATTTTGTAGTACCTATGCAACTGACACGTTACCACTATGCAATGTATCTAGGCACATATCACAGTGGTGAAATCAGGGCCGGCTCTGGCTTTTTTCCCGCCCCAGGCAAAAAAGCCTCCCGCCGCCCCCCCCTCCCCCCGCAGGGGAGGGCGGCGAGCCCCGCTGGGGAGAGCGGAGCCCCGGCGGCCAGAGCGCCGGGGGGAGGGCGGCGGGCCCCCCGGGGGCCCCGCTCCCCCCCGGGGGCCAGAGCGCCGGGGGGGGGAGGGCGGGCCCCCGCGGGGCTCCGCTCTCCGCGGCAGCCCGAGGCAGCGCCGGGGGGAGGGCGGCGAGCCCAGTCGCGGCCCCGATCTCGGGCCGGAGCGCCACGCCGCCCCCCTCCAGGTGCCGCCCCAAGCACCAGCTTGGTGGGCTGGTGCCTGGAGCCGGCCCTGGGTGAAATGAACAGTTACTGTCAATGTAATATATATGATTTAGCCAAACAAGTTATTGGACTCAATATAGATGAATGGGGTGAAATTTCATGACCTATGATATGCAGGAGGTCAGACTAGATGATCTAATGGTCCCTTTGGGCCTTAAACTCTATGAATCTATTAACACAGCATAATATAAGTTAACGCTTTAGACTGGAGGACAGGAACACTGGTATACTGGAGACTAAGTCCTCACAGTGACTTGTTACTTGACCTTCATTTAGCCTCCCTGTGCCTCAGGTTTGTTCATCTGTACTACGTGTATAACACTGTTCTGTTCTATTCAGGTTTTTATACAATGCCCATTGTCACTGTGGTATTTGAGCACCGTAATACATCTATATCTCAGAGACATTGAGGGACATACTTAATGATAATAAAGTATGTGAGATGGTAGGGGAGAGAGAGAGAGAAAGTATTTTAAAATTACTCTTGCAGCACTTGCCTACAATAGCAATATCAGGAAATGACAGACCCAGGAGTGTTGCAAAAAAACTTCTTCCAAATTAACTCTTGCATTATTTCTTGCAAACCACTTCTTTCCTGTTTAAGATCCAGTGTAAAAACCAACAGAGGGTTTGTGAAGAACGTATATCCAGTGGACCTAGGTTGCTTATAGAAAGACACTGTGTACCTCCAAGGGGTCTTCAGTCCCAAAAGCACAAGTCACTACCACTTGAGCTAAAGAAGTAACTGCATAAATTGTCAGTAAAAAGCTGGTCTATTCTCACTGAGTCAGGTCAGACACTAAGGGAGACCAGATCATACCCACTAAGACAGCATGTTATTACTGATGTTGTGCACACTAACGCTACCCCCTGCAGGAGAAGAAGCACATCACAACTACGACCTGTCTGATAGCGACCAACCCAGAAACAGTGAGAACGTGTTCCCAAACAAAATCCATCTTAGGGAATGTTGCTACTGTGCAATATATGTAGCTGTCCAGGCAATAGATTGTTTTTAAATATAGATCTGTTTAATCATATTCCCCAAATAGCTAAACAACACATTAAACACAGGACAACATGGCAAATGTTATGACCCTATGTTATGTGGGGCATACAACATTCAATACCCTATTGATTCCCTACCAAGTCAGCAAAATAAAAGAGAAAACTAATATCCAAGTAGCTAAATTCTAGCTGCTAGCCATCTGAATGCTATTCGAGATTCCTCAGATGCACAGAGACCATGCAATGTGGGGAGGACAAGGGCAGCATTCAGAAACCTCACAACGGCTTATTCCTATTTCAGCTGGGAGTTTAACTAAACTACATCTGCTTCCTTGAAGTGAAACTACTTGAACAACTGGGGACCCGAGAGAGAGCTCTGTGTAGCTCGAAAACTTGTCCCTTCCACCAACAGAAACTGATCCAATAAAAGATGATATCTCACCTATCTTGTGTGTGTCAGATCCTGGGACCAACATGGCTACAACAAAGCTTCAAACAACTTTTTAATCACATTTTTTTAATTAAGGGTCTTTACAAAGAAAGCAAAACACAGAGTTGCCTTTCTTGTCTCATGACTTGGCCATGTGACCACAAGCTTAACAAATAGGATGGATATTACCATTAGCTTATCTACATAATTGATTAATTAAATTGGGCACAAAGCAGACAGCACTTGAATGTGTTATGCAAGATCACTTTGGAGTTAACTTTGGCTTAGTGTTTGCAGAAGAGCGGAAAATGCCAGATAAGAGGATTTCTAGTGGGGGAAATGGTAACTCAATTACAAATTAAGACATATGTCAAAACTGATACTCAGCACAACTGATTTGGCACAAATATCCTTCCAAGTTGACCCCATCAGTCTAATTTCCTGCCTTCTATGTCAATAATTCTGCCTTTTGACCCATTGCCAAACTGCATTTAAGACTAGGGTGACCAGACGTCCCGATTTTATCGGGACTGTCCCGATATTTGCTTCTTTGTCCCGCGTCCCGACCAATTAAATTAACTCAATATCAACTACAAATAGCGCTTCTAAGCACTATTGCAATCCAATAAATAAATAATAATAATCTCAATATTATACTTTGAACTGTTGCTTCTTATCTTTCTTGTATTTTCCAAACATCATGTCACTGTCCTCAATTTTAAAATATTTAATTTTTTTTTTTTTTTTTTAAAAAGACCAAGAAAAAAATCCTTGAGCAGCAGTAACGTCAGCTCCAGTGATAAAACCCCCCCCTGCAATACTCACATTTCAAAGAATGTTAGAATGGTGGGGTGGGGAATCAGATTCTGGCTGTAAGGTATCAGCCACATTGATTACAATCTTATCAAATGAGTGATATTTACCTTGCTTCCAGAAAACCCAACAAACTCCAGTAATCGTAGAATCCGTGTTGGGAACATGGACAATGTCTGTGGAAAGAAACAAATAAGCTGAGCAGTAATTGGAATTGGTATTCTCCTCTCTCTCAACCCCAGGATGTCTGATATGACCTTTCCAAACCCCAAAGGCAATCAATAAAATCATTAAAAGCCTAATTATGTACCCCCAAGTCTTCTTGTGTAGATGTATATGCCTCTCAGCTATTTGTTGTATCTCATGTATCCTCAAGGATTAAACAGAACTGTATCAGCCTCAGTATCACAGTAAATATGTAAACCCCTGTTTCCTAGGTAAAACTAACAGCAACTCCGGATAACACTGGTTGCTGCATTTTGCAGCGCTTTAATGATTATTTCGATGGGAACTACAGAAATTAAATGTCTGCCAGATCCATCAAGCAGGATACTCGCTATCTATGTGTTACATAGATCAGTTTTTGGAGTCCACTACACTGTTCCAAGAAACAGGTCCTTGTGTCAGAACAAACCAACCAACCACGAATCTGATCGTACAGACACTTACTACTGGGTATTTTTCTTATTACTCTAAGTAATCTCATTGAACTCAGGATTAGGCCACCAGTTTGTAAAACAGGAAAACTGATACTACCCCTATATTAAAGTACTGTATACAAAAGGAACACACATTTGACACGGATTCAGTTCTTGTTATGCAACTGCCTGTATAGTAAATACTAACTCCTACAACTAAACAATGAAATGTTTACAGTAGCATTTGAACCAAGTGGAGTGTAAATCAACGAGATTTTCAAATATTTACATAATGTTGCTTTTGCTGTTAACAATTGAAAGGCAAGTTTAAAACAGTCAGTGCTAAAAAAAATAAAAATTATCCCCTTTTTTTTAAAAAAAGAGAAGGAACTATGCTTCTGGGGAAAAAAGTGACAGAGAACATCTGACCTGCATTTATAAAGTATATCAAATAAATTGGGGTCCCAGTATTATGATAGCCAGTAAGGCAGTATTAATAGTAATAACCACCATTTTAGTTTGCATTCTTTCTTCTTATTGTTTTAATGGGAGTCATGCCTATGCATTATGGGAGGGAGAGACACTAAAAGAACACACTAAAGGAGATGCTGCGGAAATAATCAGCTATACTTTTTTAAGAAGTATGAGAACAATTCATGCATAATCAGATTGCGTCTGCTGTGACTTGTTTTCTAACTGTTGATAGTCACAGTTTACGTAAAGCTTTTCTGAGCACGGGGCTGAACACACAGAATCAAAATCAGACTTGCGCACAAACTATCTGGTACTCCTGCTTCTGGCCAGTTTAGAAATCAGCTTCTCATCCCAAAGCATCTGGGGAGCAGTACAGCATTGCTATTTATTCCTGTCCTTAGCTTGTTCCTCCACTAAGTGCCACCTGGTCATGTTGCTGCATACGATCCTGCCATCTAGTTGGTAGCCAGCCTCTAGGTCTGACTGACCTTTGCTGCTTTTGCATTATTTTCCTTGGCATTCTATCATCTGTTTCCCTTCTGCAGTGTCCCCACCATTGTAATCTTTTAGATTATAGTCAAACCCTTTGATCTCAGATCCTTCTCTCCTTCTAACTTCATTTGTCTTAAAATAAACTCCCCTTTACACCTGCCAGCTTTCAAAGAACTCTCTCTCTACTGTCTCCTGCCTTCTGATGTCTGTTACCCCAATCCAGAAGTGTTGCACCAAATATTATGGAATAACATGCTATGAATTAACAATCTAGCAGGAAAGAAATTCTGATTTCAACCCTGGGCAGACAGGGCTCGCTAAGCCTCTTTAGGCAAGTCTGTCTAGGAGAAGGAACATTCTGATTTCAAATCTGAGCAGTGGACTAGGGTGAAAGCGCTGATGCTTCTTCCTACCATGCCAGCAGGCTATGGCATTCCCAGGAGCTGGATAGGGTGGACTGGCCTAACAAGCCATTACATCCAAATCTTACTTGTTACTGTTTAAAAATACCACCAGTAAAAGCATCCTCTCTCTCACAGCATACTGGTACTTTCACTTCTGATGTGGGATGAAACCAAGACATAGAAAAGTGCACAAAAATAATCAGACACCTGCATACCAACCTCCCCTCACTGCCCACCTCCGCCCCTCCAAAGAAGTCAATTTAAGTTTATGAACTTTAAAAATTGTTCAGATTAAGTTCTGGTTAGTTCTTATTTCAGTCAAACTGATTTGCCATCCCTGGCTGGGAGAAGTGGCAGTGACTGGGGATGGTGCCTTTTGCCTGCAGGATTCCATATCAAAGGCAGTGTACTTCAGTTCAATCACAGAGGGGTCTCAGACACATCTTCTGTAAGCTTTAGGTATTGTAAACATGCAGGGAGCTGTCAGGTGAAGACTGAACTGCGATCAGCTCTTTCCACAGTCGAATTACTGATCACAGCTCAGGTTACTCAAGTGGTCCAGCATGCTACTTTGTCCTGACCAGGCCCAAATCCTACAATGAACGTTGGACGGGCAGACGCTTGCACTCATGCAGGGACTCCTTGAAGTCAGCAGAGCTCCATGCAAATGCAGAGGAGTGCTTGCACCCAGTGAACTCTAGGATCATGGCCAGAGCAGTTCCTCTCTATTTCTCTTTTACGTGTAGTATGTTCACCCTTGATCTTTCTTAATCATGTTAGTGTCTGCAGATGCTGTAAACCAGCAGAGGGCCGGACGCGGCAAATACTTGCACGCTTCTAACTTCAAACGTGAGCGGTTCCATTAAACTCAGTGGAACGCAGGTGTTTAAGTTAAGCATGTCTGTAAGTGTTTACAGCAGTGGGGCCTTAGTGAAGACTTCTTTTACATACCAGGTTGAAAGCTCCAACACCAAGCTTTACGCCTCCTTCAAAGTGGAGATAGTTCTTTCCTTTAACATAGTTTGGAGACTGTATAAGACTGTCCAGTTCCCTAACAATACAGAAGATAACATTACAGAATACATGGATGACCGGGTAAATATTTAGCCCAATTCAGTACGAAAGCTGACCAGTCATTTTGAAATATAACAATTATAGTCGTAACTCTGAAGTCTCATCTAATCTAGATAGATGAAAGTAGCCAGAAGCTATTGTTAACCATGGAAGTGGTAAAAGGTCTCATTTCCTTTTTCTATTCATTAGTACAGTAGAGAACAGTTTCTTTCCACATGTGCAAAACTTTAACAAACCAGGCGTCTAAGCAAGCATGCCATGACTGAACATGTGAAGGGCAAATTCTTTACCATGCAAACAACAGGAAATATACCGGGATTTATGTGTACATGAACTAAAGGAGAACATCTCTTGTATTTGCAAAAATGGAGAGAGATGCCAGCTTGGTAGACTTACATGGTCATCTTTCGAATGATGGACCTATGAACTTGCACTCTCTACTGTCATGAGTGCTTTAAAAAGGAGAATTCCATATCCCTTTAACATTTCTAGGAGAGCTGTCTGCTCTATTGTGTGGCAGGATGATGCAGCATGTTACAGGGGACACACTGAGCTCTGTGAGTGACTTTGCTTTTGTTCTTATTTGCCTGGCTGTTTTTTCCATCATCTAAATAAAGTTATTCAGGCGGAAAACATAAGGCAGCATGTGCATAGAACAGTACAGAGGAAACAAGTTGTCTGACAAGTTGAAAGCTACTCAAGATGTTTTTGTTTGATTGGTTTTAGGACTGAGGGAGGAGGTTTGACATAAACAGCATCTGCATGTGGATGTGGCTCACTTGCTAGTCACCAATCAGTATTAAATCCATGTTCTCTAGGAGTGAACTAAGGAGGACCACGTATCCCAGTCTGCATGGGTTGAAAATTACTCATGCTCCTAGATTTTGAAGATTGTGTAAGCTATAATAACTATGTGCCTAAGTAAATAAATAACAACAATGCTAATTCTGAGAGACACCCCCTCCCACTAGAGTCTTTTTACTGCAGATGAGCATCTGGTATGATAATAATACAGTAATTCAGGCCTACTTACCTATATGTCTGATAACTGTTCCTGACTTTGATGCCTCCTTTGATAAAGCTAACCATGTTCTCATCCTGGTGGAAGGGAAACACATTAGCACTGAGCAATTTAAAATGCATTTGCTTTCTGGAAATTAATAGATGTGAGTAAAACAATTTAAGATGAATCAGACAGGATGAGTCTCTATGGAGCAGTAAATGGCTAAGACTTAGGATTTCTTTTCTAATTTTTGTTTTTACTGTCCTAAAATATCATTTTTTTTCCATGCTTTCTGTGTTTAGTTGCTTTAACTCTGAGCTGTGGATCTTTAGTCCACATGAATGACCACAGGAATAGAGCCACATTGTCCCTTGTTGCTGTTAGCAAAAAGTGGCACCTATAGTACAAACAGCTGTGGCTGTTATAAAAGAATGCAACTAGCTTTGAATCATTTGTCCTTCAGCACGGTTAAGATTCAGACATTCCCTGGCTCAGCACCAGCTACAAACAGCTGACTGCCTGCACCAGATCCTGCAGGATGCAATTTGGGTTCATGAAAAACACAAGGTACGTTGGATGTGCTCTCTTTTTGCTACTGAGTGTTAATGGTAAGTGTGTAGCACAGCCATAAAAAGCAATGTAACAAATGCTCAGATATTGCATTACAAAATATAAGAAACATGGAATCTGCAAGATAAAATATGTAGGGGCCTTTGAGTTAAGAATTATGACTCAACAGATGAGAAACTGCTTGATAATTTTCTGTTAGTAGCTTCTTTCCTCATTCATCACTAATGGGTAATGCCCCCCACCTGTGGGATACGGAGGCAAGCCAATGTTGCTGCAGGCTCCAGGACTAAGCCCTGCCCTTCAACTCAGGCCAGCAAAAGAGTGCTTCAAAAAGCTGAAGAAACACTCCAGGAATGCAATATTAGCATCAAGACAACAGCTTGATAGAATATATGAATTACATTTATGTTTAAGTCTCCCTTTAGAGAAAAAAATCAATTTGTTACCAACTGTATTCCAGTCATTTACCAGATTACCCGGGTGGTCTGAATGAGGGGAGAAGCTGCTAACAGGAAGAAAATTATCAGGCAAGAAATTTTTCATTCTGCTGCACAGCTTCTCTCCACATTCATCATTAATGGAAAATAACGAGCAGTGAATCAAAGAAGTGGTGGGGGAGGATAAGCAGAGTTGTAATTATTATAGTAGAATACTAGTCAGGAATGGAAATTATCTCCCTTGCCCCACCTTTAAAAGCAAGAATTTTGTAATTTAAAGGAGCCAGTCCAGTAGGGAACCTTTCTACCAAAGGATGTGTCTGCACAAGAATGGAAACTTATTTTGCAAAACTTCCTCAGATGAAGCTCATGCACTTTGGGGGAATCCTACTCCATAAATAGTTTTCCAGATGCCTAGTATGCCAACTGCTGCGGGATTTTAGTATCTTGTCTGCTGCAACTTTGAGGTCTGAAGGCAGTGAATTTTGGAGGGAATGAGATGAACTCTGTGTGTCCTCAATATACTTGAGATATATCTTTAGAATGCTAGGAATGCCCATTTATGTCTCAACCTTCCAAAGGATTGGAATAAAAAGGTGGGAGAGCTATTTCCCAGGAACTGTGGAAAGAAGAATTTACATCGAACTGAAAAGTTTCTGGAGCTATAGCATTTTTTTCATGACAATAGCAGTGTGCCTCTTGTATAGATAGAGAAACTAATTCAAAAACCTGCTTTTCAGAGGCAATAGTGATTGGAAAAGCCAGACACAGGCTTGTCTAATCTGTCGTCCTGATTAATCTTGACATCTGATGCTCAGGTGGGGAGTCCGACGTGCCTTTTTAAAGAATGGTGCTAGGGCTGGTTCCCACTTTTCTACGGTGCTTGGTTGTGTAGGACTCCCATCAACCATTCTGGAGAACCTCTAGTGTAGCCGATATCAACAGAATTTTATAGTTGTCTTGCTCGGCTCATCGCCGGTGAGGCCTCAGCTGGAGTACTGAATCTAATTCTGGGTGCCACACTTTAGAAAAGATGTGGACAAATTTGAGAGAGTCCAGAGGAGAGCAACAACAATGATACAAGGTTTAGAAAACCTGACCCATGAGGAAAGGTTAATAAACTAGACATGTTTAGTCCTGAGAAAAGAAGACTGAGCGGGGACCTGGTAATAGTTTTCAAATATATTAAGGGCTGTTACAAAGAGGACAGCAATCAATTATTCTCCATATCCAGTGAAAATAGGACTGTAGGGGTAGGTAAGCTCTGGAATATTCTTCCAAGGGAGACTGTAGAATCCCCTTCATCGGAGGTTTTGAAGTACAGGTTGGACAAACACCTGTCAGGGATGGTCTAGTTTTACTTGGTCCTGCCTCAGCACAGGGGGCTTGACTTGATGACCTTTCGAGGTCCCTTCCATCCCTACAGTTCTATGATTATTATTTGTATTATGGCAACATCTGGGCCTGGGCCCCATTGTGCTGGGCACTGTACAAAAAAAAAAGAAAAAAAAAAAAAAAAAAGGACAGTGTTTCCCAAAATGCTTTCTGTTTCCCTTCACACCAGAAATGTAATGTGACCAGATCAAGGAGTGAAATTTCCTTGTTGAGTTCTCTCTGGATATCAAAATTTCTCAATGAGGCTAATGGAAAATCCCCGCTGAATTACACTTTCTCTTCCAATGCCTAGGCTGTAACTGTAGGTGGTCCAGGTCTGGATGAAGGAGTCCCTGCTTAAAGAGGCCTGGTGTTTTCTGCAGGTGCAATGGAGGTTCCGGGGCTGTCTGTCAAGTTCAGAGTGCCTTTGGGTCATTGGAGGACTATGGGGAGACCCTTTCCCTCTTTTCTGTATCCTTTATGCAACCTGTCTTGAAAGGTAGCAGATTCTTCTCTGTGGCAATGGAAATAATATCCTGGACAGAGGAACTTTGACCCCTGGCTACTCCTTATTTTTGAAAGGGATATAGACACTGATGCTTCAATCATAAACAAACATTTACATGGGAGGTAGCAGGAAACTTCCCCTATGAGCACCATCATTGTCCACAATGTGGTTTCTTGCACCCTCTTTTGAAACAGCTGGTTCTGGCCACAATTATAGATGAGATACTGGACTAAATGGACCACTGGTCTGAACTATGCAGTCATGTGTATATGTTTTCACTCTGACAACTCTGTCAGTGGTGTATCTAAGTGAATTAAATGAATGTGGATTCTAAATTTTTGACAATTTGTCATCCATGTATGCACTCCACCTTGAGAGGCTTGCTTGAGCATGTTGGTTGTACTTACCTGCCCACAAATGGACTTTCGAAGGTGATCTGAGAAGGACATCTAATTTTGTATTGTACCCGGTAAATGGTTCCATGTCCTTAAAGAAATATCTAGAGGGTGCATTTTGAAAAATCTCATTCAGAGATGAAGCCAGTACTTATCTCCTACAGGTAGGATTGCTGGTGCCAATTGGCTAGAGATGACCACTGCCAGGAAATGAATGATACAATGATGTTTTGGATCTTTGCAAATCTTTACCATGGTAGGAAAATTATGGCCAGAGCCAAGTAGTTTTGACCCATGGGTGAGCAATTCTCTGCATTGGGTTCAAAAAGTTCTTCTCGATTTTTGAGCCACCGGTGGGTATGTATCCTTTCCAGCAGCTGGCATATTATGAATTGGTCCATTTCTCTCGACAGGGTACCAATTGGCACGTTGTCCATGAATGGGTATGGAGCCTTCCACAGGGGAGTAGAGATTTCAGGAGGCGGTCAAGGCCCTACAGGTCTCTCCAACTCAAAGCTCATGTTCTGGCAGCACAAGGGTCAGTGGGTATACCAGGCCCACTGAGGCTCCTGAGAAGCTGCCTATAACAACTCACACACTTGACTCTGTGTTTGCTGCTGCAGTGAAGGGCAGAGGGAGCTCACTTCAGAGGTGCTGTGCCAGAGAAACCAGAGGGTGAGAGCGTCTATACTCCAGAGATTCTTCACCTCAGGAGAGGGAAAGAGGAGCTAGATGCTGAAATGAAGTCACTACCGCACAAAAATAAATAGAAATTAAAGTTAGAAAACAAAATGGCTAGAAGAAACTGAACTGCCAACTTGGTCTGCTGCTGGGGGCAGAAAATCTGGTAGCCTGCGCTGAAGGGCAGGGCTTAGTCCCAGAGCCTCCATCAACAACACTGAACCACCTGCAAATTCCACACTGAGGGGCATTATCCATTAGCGATGGATGAGAGAGAAGCTGTGCAGTATAAATGAGAGTGTCACTCCTGGTATGATAATATGTCCCCAGAGAGTTTAATCCAAATCATGGTGCAGCAAATGCTTACAGAACAATGTGACCCTGTTTACTTTTGTTCCATAGAGCAAATGTTTATTTCCATCATTCAACTGGAGGGTTCCACAGGGCATCATACATACTAGTTTAAAGGCTGCTTTCTGTTCAGTGGCTGGGGGAAGGTTTCAGAAACAGGACATTTACTTCAGTTTCAGCCCAGAAATTCAGAAAGGTCATTGCTAAGAATGAAAAGAATCAATGCTACAAGAGATGCCTGAATATCAATCTCCTAGGGAAACCCTGAGGCGGATTTGAGAAAGCAGTTGCTGAGTGGCATCCATGCTCTATGTATTTCACCCGAATTCAGTAGATAGAATATTCTATCATAGAAAGAAACAAATGCTATGAACCAAAAGCCTTTGAACTGTCAATACAGTAAAATGTGTGTTATCCGGCACTTTACCAACTGGAAAGCTCTAGAAACCGGCATTTCTGATATCTCCCAATATAAATCTTCATAGGGTTGCCAGGTGTCCAGTTTTCAACCGGAACACCTGGTTGAAAAGGGACCCTGGTGGCTCCAGTCAGCACCGCACACCGGGCAATTAAAAGTCCAGTTGGCGCAGGGCCGGCAGGCTCCCTACCTGGCTCTTCGTGGCTCCCCAGAAGCGATGACATGTCCCTGCTGCTCCTAGGTGGAGGAATGGCCACGGGACTCCATGCGCTGCCCCTGCCCTGAGTGCTGGCTCCGCAGCTCACATTGGCTGGGAACCACGGCCAATGGGAGCTGCAGGGGCGGTGCCTGTGGACAGAGGCAGCGCGCAGAACTGCCTGGCCGCATATCCACCTAGGAGCAGCAGGGACATGTCGCCACTTGCAGGGAGCTGCCCGAGGTGAGCGCCGCCTGCATCTGGCACCCCGAAACCCCTCCCACGCCCCAACTCCCCGAGCCCTGGCCTGCACCCAAACTCTCTCCCAGAGCTACACCCCATGCCCCAACTCCCAGCCCTGAGCCCCCTCCCGCACCCAAACTCCCTCCCCTCCATTGGTAAGTACAACTCTTAGTTAACCAGAATTTTTGGCTAACTGGCAGCCCCCATCTCCCCAACATACCGGATAACAAAGCTTTCACTGTAGTTTGTACTTCCTGGGAAAAGGGCAAAGTGGCTTTTTACAGTGTTTTGGTAATCTTCATTAAGCATCTAAAGTAACTACTTTAAAAACTCTTAGTAAGTATAAGAGGTAAAGCACCTTCATTTAATTTTTAAAACTAGTTCTTGCCTCCATGAAAAATGAAAAAGCTAAAACAGAAAATGAATGATGTCTTGTGCATCCCAGCCTAAGCAACGCTGTACAGACATGTTGTGAGAAGAGGGAGCACATGAACAGGGCCTTCTTTATGCGTAGGAGGCAGAAGTTATGCCATTTCTCTTATGCATGAATGGTTTTAAAAAGAAACATACCAGTTAAGGCCAACATCGCTGCCGTAAATGTCCCGTTCCTAAGATACTAAGAACACTACCAGCACTATGTAGTGCCTTTCAGCCACAGATATCAAATCAGTTTACAAAGCTGGTAAATTTGATTATCTCCTCTTCACAGACGGGGAGGCAGAGAGGTTAAGTGACTTGTCCACCGCACCATGAGATGCAACTGAGGGCTTGTCGACACTGGCACTTTACAGCACTGCAACTTTCTCGCTCGGGTGTGAAAAAACATTCCCTTGAGCACTGCAAGTTTCAGCGCTGTAAAGCTCCAGTGTCAACAGTGCACTAGCACTGGGAGCAGCGCCTCTCGGGGAGGCGGTTTTTTAGAGCTCTCTCCTAGCGCTCTGCCGTGACTACACAAGCCACGTTAAAGCGCTGCCATGGCAGTGCTTTAGCATGGCCAGTGTAGACTAGCCCTGAGTCAGGAATAGAAATTAAGAATTGCAACTCTCATTCACCTGCTTTAACCACAGACTGAAGTTCAGCTGACAGCTGCTGATGTTAGCTCCTGAAGACACCAGAAGCTACACGGAGAAAGAGAGAGGCAACGCTTTTTCTCCCATAACACAATTCAGCACTGACTAGTAACAACAATCAGTGGAACGTCCAGGGGCGACAGCCCTTCAAGAACAACAACGAACAACCTTGTTAATGTAGATTCATTACTTTGGGTACGTCCAGACTACCCGCTGAATTGGCGGGTAGTAATCAATCTATCGGGGATCGATATATCACGTCTCATCTAGACGCAATATATCGATCCCCGAACACGCTCCCGTCGACTCCAGAACTCCACCAGGGCAAGCGGCGGTAGCGGAGTCGACGGGGGAGCTGCGGCCATCGATCCTGCGCCGTGAGGACCCGAGGTAAGTTGAAATAAGATACGTCGACTTCAGCTACGCTATTCCCGTAGCTGAAGTTGCGTATCTTACATCGACACCCCCCTCCCCGCCCCAGTGTAGACCAGCCCTTTGATTACTCATTGGATTTTGGGAGAAGCAGAGGAACAAGTTCCTCTGCATGCTACAACTCCAATGACCTTTGTTTCTCTTCCATGCTATCCCACCCCCATTCATACACTTGCCACGCTTACTGAAGTGACCTTCCACCCAGCCGAAGAATGGGAGGACAACTCCTTTCCAAGTACATCAACATCACTCCTAAGTCATGCAGAGGGGGTGCTAGAGAGACCTGCAAAGTGTTCCCCCCCACACGGACTGCAGCTGCCTCCACAGCACTCTGAGACCAAGAAGTAAGGCCCACGTCTTAGGCACCTAATTCCTACTAATTTCAATGGACGTTAGGTGCCTAAATACCCTGGAGTGGGGGTTCTCAAACTGGGGGTTGGGACCCCTCAGGGGGTCGGGAGGTTATTACGGGGGGGGGGGGTCGCGAGCAGTCAGCCTCCATCCCAAACCCCACTTTGCCTCCTGCATTTATAATGGTGTTAAATATATAAACAAGTGTTTTTAATTTATAAGGGGGGGGTCGCACTCAGAGGCTTGCTATGTGAACGGGGTCACCAGTACAATAGTTTGAGAACCACTGGAGGATGTGGGCCCAGAGACTTGGTCCAGTAGACTTGACCTGGGTCCCTTGCATGGGTGTATGAAAATGTGCACTTTCATGTCCCACATAAAGATTTCCATCTGTATACAGCTGATTTCCAAAACCTCCTGTTCCCCTCCTGCTTTCATGAAACAGCCATAACGGGTGGTACTGTACCTGCAGGAATGTGAGAGCCGCTCTCTGAAGCAAGCATTCAGCATAGCAAATTTCTGCATGAATTTCCTCTAGTGTGAAAGGGTGGGGGTGGGAGAGGGAAAAGACACAATCAGACAACAGATTAATTAAAGTAGTAGTATTATACCCCCAATTAGGAAAACAGAATACAATAAATGCAAAGGGTGAGAAAACCTCAAAAAGAAAATCTGATCAGACTTTGTTTCTTCCAGGTTGTTGAATTAACCCCAAGTGATAGTGACACAAAATGGTTACCAAGTGGCTGCTCGGTGGGGGTCTCAGCCCAGATCTTGGCAGAGCGGGGTCTAGAATGCAATGATCATCACCAGAAATTGTAGCAGTCTCAGCAGAGAAATAATGATGAAGGCTCTATTCAACAAAGCAAGTACTTAATTTTAAGCATATAAATCATCCCATCCCTATCCACCGAGGCATTTAAACTAAAGTGCTATACTGCATAGAGATGGGATAAGTCACATACTGAAGGTCAAGCATGTATTTAAGTGCTTTGCTGAATGGGGACCCAAATGGGCATGGAGACCAGTCTATTGTCTCACTCTAGAAGAGTTACCTCCAAGCCAAGGAGAGGCACTTTGGCAAGATGGCACAAGCAAGCTTGGGTTTGGAACAGGTCCCAAATGAGGAGAGATTAAAGAGGCTAGGACTTTTCAGCTTGGAAAAGAGGAGACTAAGGGGGGGATATGATAGAGGTATATAAAATCATGAGTGGTGTGGAGAAAGTGAATAAGGAAAAGTTATTTACTTGTTCCCATAATATAAGAACTATGGGCCATCAAATGAAATTAATGGGCAGCAGGTTTAAAAACAAATAAAAGGAAGTTCTTCTTCACACAGCGCACAGTCAACCTGTGGAACTCCTTGCCTGAGGAGGTTGTGAAGGCTAGGACTAGAACAGGGTTTAAAAGAGAACTAGATAAATTCATTGAGGTTAAGTCCATTAATGGCTATTAGCTAGGATGGGTAAGGAATGGTGTCCCTAGCTTCTGTTTGTCAGAGGGTGGAGATGGATGGCAGGAGAGAGATCACTTGATCATTACCTGTTAGGTTCACTCCCTCTGGGACACCTGGCATTGGTCACTGTCGGTAGACAGGATACTGGGCTGGATGGACCTTTGGTCTGACCCAGTATGACCATTCTTATGCTTTGTCCCACCTGAATTCTAATCCTGGTTCTGACACTCCTGTACTGAATAGGGAATATGTATGATTTATGAATTCTATATGAGATTATGAACCCTGTGTGCCTATGTCAGGCTGCACACTCCATTCTGAATATGCAGCCTTTTGCTTTCTCTATGCTGTTTGCCTGCATGTTGGGTTGAAAATTCCAAAGGCTGGTAGCAAAAGGACAACAATAGAGGATACCCAATCACTGGAAATCTATTCACATTAGACAAAAGAATGATCCCCTGCCCAGGAAAACTAGTTTAGCAGGGGGCAAGTCACTTTGGCATCAAAGTCATCAGATAGGAGTTTGGGCTCATGTGGGGAACTAGCAAAGGTGTCACCTGACACAGGGCACTGAAGGTTTTTAAAAGGGTAGAGGCTAGTCTGCTTAGCGGCCAGCCATGTTCTCCAGTTCATGCGGGAGCGACCACTCACCCATGTAACAGCCGGCAGGAGGCAGGGGACACCCTCCCTGCTTGCCTTCCTAGAACCACGGCTCCCAAGGGAAGGGTGAAATAGAAAGTGAGGGATATTGCAGTTTCAGATGTTTATTATTTTGTGTGATCTATACTTGCCCGTGCTTTACATGATTAAGGGGGGAGGGATAGCTCAGTGGTTTGAGCATTGGCCTGCTAAATCCAGGGTTGTGAGTTCAATCCTTGAGGGGGCCATTTAGGGATCTGGGGCAAAAAAAAAATAGTTGGGGATTGGTCCTGCTTTGAGTAGGTGGTTGGACTAGATGACCTCCTGAGGTCCCTTCCAACCCTGATATTCTATAAAGGATAAGGTTAGACTTGGCAAAGTACAGGTATTGAGTGCTTCACAACCACTGTGTGCCTCTAATGGAATTAAACTATAAATGAGAAGCTTCACATCTCTGGGGAGTAGTTCTGGGGGAGGGTGTGTTTTAGTCTTGGGGAGTGAGATGGGTCAGCACTGAACTCAGAGGGGCTAAGCAGCTGGACAGCAGGTTCCGACACTCAGAGGTGGTGCAAGATAGAAGATCAGCACCCTGAAAGTGTGCCTAGGAACTCAGAGTGGGCCAGTGGCCGAGATCCAGCACAGCAGAGGTTTGGATTCCCCTCCTAGCAGGTGGCCAGGAAGGGGCACTCACTAGAATCTGAGACAACCAGTCTTCAATTGATCATTTTGTTTCTGTGCCTCCACTTCCGCCTCTGTATAATGAGGATAACGACATCAACTTACCTCACTGGGGTGTTGTGAGAAGTAGTTAATGTTAATACACTGCTTTGAGAACAAAGTGCTATAACTGCTAAACACTATTGCTGTGAGGTTGCAGCAGCATCAAACATAGGCCAGCAAGATAGAGGCTGCAAACATATCATATTCTTTGCCCTTTCCTCCCTGGGCCACAGGAGACAAGACATTTCATTTGGGGGGTGGAGTGGGGTGTGTGTGAAAGGACAAAGAAAAAGGAGCTGGGGAAGAGATGTGTGAACCACTCCTAAGCACTTCCCTCTATTCAGGGAAGTCGTCCTGAGCACCAACTTCCAGGGGCACCAGATCAACAGATGGAGGGGGCGGGAAGGGGCCACATCACTCAGCAATTTTGTTTTGGGGGGTTTCTTTTGTTTTGTTTCCCCCACACACACACACTCAGCTACTTGTGGGGCAGCCAAAAACATTTTCCGTCCTGAGATGCAAAGCACATAGGTCAGCCCTGCATCAATCAACAGATTAGTCGGGTGGCATTAACGGAGGTCTTGAGGGAAGAGCTTTATTTTGTGCCCCTCCCACATCAGGCTGGAGGCTATAATGATGCACAACAGCAACTGGACAGAGGATGGTCACACAAGATAAAAACAGCTGTGGCTCCAGAATGAACATGTGGGTTGTGCCCACTTTAAGCTCTTGAACCAACCCCCTAGCAAATAGAATTAATACAAAGAAAGAAAGAAAATATCACATGTGAATACTGGGGAACTGGATCTTATACAAGAAGGGCCCAAAGATCTGAAATGCTGGTTTAGTTTTTGGAAATGGATCACTGAATACTACAATCTTACTTTAATTGAATGCATGGTCCAACATACATAGCTCTATACAACACAAGCCACATGTTAAATGTAGTCCAACCCAAGGTTGAGTCTCCTTACTGTATTTCCTTCAGAGATCACGTTCAGCTTGTTTTATGCAGTATTACAGTGTTGACAACTCTTTAGATTTATTCATGAGTCCTGTGATATTTGGTGCAGGGATTTTAAGCCCAGGCTCCTGGAGTCATGTGGGAATGTCAGGGTTTTTTGTTTCTTTTTCATCAAGTTTCTAGCTCTCATGCTTATAGAGAAAAGTCTGAAAACTTGATCTGAGTGCACTCTAAAGGCTCAGACACCAGAAGACAAATAAGAATCCCAATATTAATATTCTTTAGTAAATTTCATTATTTTTATGCCCATCTCATGATTTTTTGATACTTAACTCATGATTTTTACACATGTCGGGCTGGCAATACTGTAATTACTTTCCACCTCCCATCCTTAAGAGTTGATTCCTCTGATAGTCATGAGATCCTGTTCAGCAAATTATTAAACTATACTGACTGAAATACACACACACACACTCTTGCTTCCATGACCAAATACAATCTAAGTGACAGACAAGATCATGAGACAAAAATAATTTAGTATTATTTCCCTCCTAGATGTTGCGCAATAGCGCTAAGCTTTTTAATCACATGACCCTATCTCATTTAGTCCAATTGTGCGTCATGCCCTTGATGAGTTATTATAGTGTACTGTGTATGCACACATTCAGTGTTTATTATCAAGGAAATGGCCGTTTTTTAATAAAGAGAGATCTAATAGAGCATTACATAACCATTTAAATTCAATTACACAGTTACATGGACTGAGTTGCCCAGATGCAAACAAAGCTAGAACTTGAACATTGCTACGTGGAATTGGAATTACACTGTGTAATGAAACTGATGTCAGAGAACCAGCGCCTAGTGGGATTAGCAAATTTCAGATTTTATACATTTTCAATAAATGCATTCATAGGAGCAAACGGCCTCTCCTGGTCCCAAAAGAGCAGAAACCCTGCCCATCACTAAACCTCTCCAAGACTCATCCTGCACTATGCACAAGTGCATAAAAGAAAAGATTGTCTTTGCAGCATGTCTGGAGGTTAACAGGCTCAAGCAGAAGATTTGAGGGTCCCTCTCAATTAAATGAAGGCTGTTTCAGTTCGAGAGTCTCCACTGATTCCCACTTTGGCAATATCACACAGAGAGGGGCAATTTCTCCCAAAGGTGACACCCAACATCTTGAATTCCACCCAAAAGTCTACAGGCATCCAGTGGTAAGTGTCTGAAAAGATCCCAAACAACACCCACCATCACCATTGAATCTGTAAAGTTAGCCCTGCATATTCCCATCAGTGAAAGGCACAGGAAAAAAAAAAAAACCATTACATGAGCCAGATGGAACCTTACCTTCAGTAAAGTGTTCGAGATTTTGTCTATGCACAAGGCTGTTAAAGGAATCAGCTACAGTCGATTTCTTCCTAAACCTAATGGGAAAGAAAAACAAGTCTGGTCATTCTGAACAAGAAGGGGAATCATTGAAAAACTATACCATTTAGCTGGCTTTCCATACTGCCACAAACACACCTCCTCTTCAGCTTTCATCCACCAACTGTTATCTCACCTTTTATGTTTAAATTGTGCCAGAAATGCGGAGCCATGAAACAGAACAGGTAGAAAATGCTGCTAATGATCAGTCTCCCAGAGCATTCTGAGCTCCCTGTGCTGCTAGTCTTCTTATTACTTACTGTGCCTCAGTCTTTAATGAGGCTGAGGAGCTTAGGGATAAAGGCAGGATGACAAATGGGAATGAGGATATGGAGGTAGATACACCTCTACCCCAATATAATGCTGTCCTCGGGAGCCAAAAAAATCTTACTGCGTTATAGGTGAAACCATGTTATATTGAACTTGCTTTGATCCGCCGGAGTGCGCAGCCCCACCCCCCCAGAGCGCTGCTTTACCTCGTTATATCCGAATTCATGTTATATCGGGTCGCGTTATATCGGGGTAGAGGTGTATTACCACATCGGAGGTAGAAGCCAAACTCGAACAGCTTAATGGGACTAAATCGGGGGGGCCCAGATAATCTTCATCCAAGAATATTAAAGGAACTGGCACATGAAATTGCAAGCCCATTAGCAAGAATTTTTAATGAATCTGTAAACTCAGGGGTTGTACCATATGACTGGAGAATAGTTCCTATTTTTAAGAAAGGACAAAAAGGTGATCCGGGTAACTACAGGCCTGTTAGTTTGATATCTGTAGTATGCAAGGTCTTGGAAAAAAAGGAGAAAGTAGTTAAGGACATTGAGATCAATGGTAATTGGGACAAAATACAACATGGTTTTACAAAAGGCAGATCATGCCAAACCAACCTGATCACCTTCTTTGAGAAGGTAACAGATTTTTTAGATTAGTGGATTTAATTTACTTTGATTTCAGTAAGGCATTTGATATGGTTTCACATGGGGAATTATTAGTTAAATTGGAAAAGATGGGAAACAATATGAAAATTGAAAGGTGGATAAGGAACTGATTAAAGGGGAGACTACAATGTGTCATACTGAAAGGTGAACTGTCAGGCTGGAGGGAGCCAAAAAGTGGGAGTGTGATAATAAAGTCTGTGGATGACACAAAGCTGGGAGGTATTGCCAATACAGAGAAGGACCGGGATATCATACAGGAAGATCTGGATGACCTTGTAAACTGGAGTAATAGTAATAGGATGAAATGTAATACTGAAAAGTGTAAGATCATGCATTTAGGGATTAATAACCAGAATTTTTGTTATAAGCTGGGGACTCATCAGTTGGAAGTAACAGAGGAGGAGAAGGACCTCGGAGTATTGGTTGATCACAGGATGACTATGAGTCGCCAATGTGATATGGCAGTGAAAAAAGCTAATGCGGTCTTGGGATGCATCAGGCGAGGTATTTCCAGTAGAGATAAGGAGGTGTTAGTACTGTTATACAAGGCACTGGTGAGACCTCATCTGGAATACTGTGTGCACTTCTGGTATCCCATGTTTAAGAAGGATGAATTCAAACTGGAACAGATACAGAGAAGGGCTACTAGGATGATCCGAGAAATGGAAAACCTGTCTTATGAAAGGAGACTCAAAGAGCTCAGCTTGTTTAGCCTAACCAAAAGAAGGCTGAGGGGAGAAATGATTGCTCTCTATAAATATATCAGAGGGATAAATACCAGGGAGGGAGAGGAATTATTTAAGCTCAGTATCAATGTGGACACAAGAACAAATGGATATAAACTGGCCAGACGAAGGTTTCTAACCATCAGAGGAGTGAAGTTCTGGAACAGCCTTCCAAGGGGAGCACTGGGGGCAAAAGACATATCTGGCTTCAAGACTAAGCTTGACAAGTTTATGAAGGGGATGGTATGATGGGATAACCTAATTAATTGACCTTTGACTATTAGCGGTAAATATGCCCAATGGCTTGTGATTGGATGTTAGATGGGGTGGGATCTGAGTTACTACAGAGAATTCTTTCCTGGGTGTCTGGCTGGTGAGTCTTGCCCACATGCTCAGGGTTTAGCTGATCACCATATTTGGGGTCGGGAAGGAATTTTCCTCTAGGGAAGATTGGCAGAGGCCCTGGGGGGTTTTCGCCTTCCTCTGCAGCGTGGGTCACGGGCCACTTGCTGGAGGATTCTCTGCACCTTGAAGTCTTTAAACCATGATTTGAGGACTTCAATGGCTCAGAAATAGGTTAGGGGTTTGTTGAGGGAGTGGGTGGGTGAGATTCTGTGGCCTGCATTGTGCAGGAGGTCAGACTAGACGATCATAATGGTCCCTTTTGACCTTAAAGTCTATGACTCTATGATGTGTAGCCACACATTACTGTCACACATATGTAACATACCTCAAAGCAAACTTGGATGACAATGAAAATTTCAGCACTAAACATCTGCTAAAATAGGACAGATTCTGACTCGCATTGAAGATCTCCTCATTCTGTGACTAGTCCTATTGACTTCAATGGGACTATACATGGAGTAGATACATCTACTGTGGAGTACTGTATTGCTGCCCATCACTGTGGTGTCAGAGAGAGCCTTCTATGTAAAATGGATTAGGTACTTTTCTGTTGCCACAGGACTTCATGGGGTCCATTCCTTAAGCATGGAACGCTGTCCTTGGGATAGGGGCTTTTTGCTTGGTTGTTTGTGTGTAGCGAAAGGAGAGCTGTTGAGTGTTGTTCTGATTATGGTGGAACTACTATCAAACAGGAAGGTTTTGCAGTGTTCTCTAAAAGCAATCAGACTCTAGATTCATCCACTCTGGAAATGCATTCTGCAGCTTGAGCCCTTCAATGAAAAAGGCTTTTCTCCAACTCTTATGTGATTCATTCTGGGCTTTGTGACTTGTGTGGTCTCAGAGAAGTGCAACTGTCATGGCAATTCATAGACGGAGATATGAATCAGCTAACATGGGCCAGCCACGGGTGTTTAACTGTAGTGTAGACATACCCTAACGCAACTGAGATTTGATTAATTGATCTGGTTAGTCGTGAAGTGCTACTCATGGTGAGTAAGGATATCAGAATTTGTCTCTATTGAAGCCAACGCAACCAAGAAGATTGTCCTCAAAATAAAGAGCCTCAATTCCCTAAGAGAACCCCTCAGGGAAAATGTGTGCTAACAGACGCCTTGCAGCATGCCTGAATTTCAATAGAAGCTGAGAGTGCTGAAGACTTTGCAGAATTATGCCCAGGGGCAGTGGTGAGCTGGAGCCGGTTCGCATTGGTTCGCAAGAACCGGTTGTTAAATTTAGAAGCTGGTGTAGAACCGGTTCCTAAAGGGGCGGGCAAGTGAGCAAACTCCGGCCCGCGGAACCCTCCTGCCCGGCCTGCCTGAGCTCCCAGCTGGGGAGGCTCCCTCAGCCCCTCCCCCACTTCCCCGCCCCCTTGCAGAGCCCCAGTGCACCGTGCTGCCGGCGTCAGTGCTCTGGGCAGCTCTGCAGCTCCTGCTGCTTTGAGTGGCATGGTAAGGGGGTGGGGCTGCAAGCTCCAGCGGCCGCGCGGCATCCTTACACAGGAGGAGCTGGATAAGGGGCAGGGAGCGGTTGGAGGGGGCGGAGGTTCTGGAGGGGCGGTCAGGGGACGGGGGGGTTGGGTAGGCGTGGGAGTTCCAGGGGTCTGTCGGGGTGGTGGTGGATGGGGTCGGAGCAGTCAGGGGACAGGGAGCAGGGCGATTTGGGTAGGGGGAGGGGTCCTGGGGGGCAGTTAGGGTGGGGGGTCTCAGGGACAAGGAGCGGGGGAGGCTGATGGGTTGCAGGTTCTGAGGGGGGCAGTCGGGGGCAGGACGTAGGTTGGGGTCGGATGGGTGGGTGGGGGAGGAGACAGGCACGTGGGGCTTCTACTCACCGCGCGGTTCCCTACCGGGTCTTCGGCGGCACTTCGGCAGCGGGGTGGGGTGGGGTTTTCACTCGCTCCGGGTGAAGTACCTGCCGCCAAAAACCCGGAGTGAGTGAAGGCCCCCCGCCGCCAAAGTGCCGCCGAGGACCCGGTAGGGAACCGGTTCTTAGGATTTGGGGAGCTCATCACTGCCCAGGGGTTGCCATAATTGCCTACTAAAGCCTTCACATTAATCTTTCCCAAAAAGGAAGATTAGTGATGAGATGGTACCTGGGAGATTGTCAGTAACAAGATAAGGTTTCATAAGCAAGAGCCTAACAATCGCTTCCCTCTGGATTTCACCATCTCAGGAGCTCACTAGTCCAAAAGGCAGCCCTCGCACGAAGGTTTCCATGTATTTCCAAAAACACAGTAACCTATATTGGCTAAATCCCAAGAAGAGAAGATTTAACATTTGTTCCTGCCATGCATACCTCTGCCAATATTCAGGCTGATAATCTGATCTCAATCTAAGGGCAGGTCTTCACTACGGGGGGGGGGGGGCGATTTAAGATACGCAAATACAGCTACGCGAATAGCGTAGCTGAATTCGACGTATCGGAGCCGACTTACCCCCCCCGTGAGGACGGCGGCAAAATCAACCTCCGCGGCTCCCAGTCGACGGCGCTTACTCCCACCTCCGCTGGTGGAGTAAGAGCATCGATTCGGGGATCGATTGTCGCGTCCCGATGAGACGCGATAATTCGATCCCCGAGAGATCGATTTCTACCCGCCGATTCAGGCGGGTAGTGTACACCTAGCCTAAGAGATCTTGGGCCATTTGAGTTATTGACCTATATTTCAACCATTAACTCACTCAGCACTTCTCCCTTGTTCCCTTCACTGAAATAACAAATGGGATTAGAGACACAGTGAAAATTGTGTAAATAAAGAAACTATCTGCTAATATGCAATAATTTGCTAAACTTACAATTTATTCATTTTTCTTTTTGTAGTGAAATTTGAAATTACCCTGCAGTACCAGAAGAACACCAGTAAATTGCAAAAGAAAATGCATTCAAACAGAGAACCTATATTCAATCAGCTAGTTTGAAGAATACTGTTTATCAGCAGTATTACTGGTCAATACCAATACTAAGTAACCCTCACAAACTCATACAAAATAAAGTAGAAAAGTCTTACTCCATGAAATAGTTTAGAAACATTTTGTGCTAATCCACATTTCATTAATAACAGAATTAGCCACATTTGGCTGTTCATTGTGGTTTGGCTTTGAATCCATAATGAATAGCTATTTGTACTTATATTTATTACAAGGGCAGCATTTGTCAGAGCTAATGAGTGGACGAATGGAGAGACAGGCACATAAATGAATATGGAAGTGAATAGCTGAATGAAGTGCAGCAACAGGAGAGAGTTGTACAGAATTCAACTATGCAAACTCACCAATAGCAGGTATATAATTTTATATGCTGCCACCCTGTCTTCTCCTTGCATTCTGTCTACTAATAGGAGGAAATGTAAACTACATGTAGTATTGCCAACCTCAAGAGATCAAAAATCACGAGTCAGACCCCCTCCCCCCAAATCATGAGATTTTAAGAACTCCAGCAAATCATGATTTATAGTCTGTCACTTGACTTTTTCATTCCACTCTATTTCTCTGCCAATGTGTGAGAGATCATTTCAGGTTGAAAAGCCAACCGTTAATGCTCACAAAAATGCATGCCTTTCCATCTGCTCAGATGGAGACTCCACTTACCCTAAGGGCTGGTGTACCCTTACCATGCTGTGATTGATGCATCGGCGTTCAATTTAGCAGGTCTAGTGAAGGCCCGCTAAACTGACTGCAGATGACTCTCCCATTGATTCCTGTACTCCACTTGCATAGTGTGGACCCCGTGGTAAGTAGATCTAAGCTTAGGGTGACCAGATAGCAAGTGTGAAAAATCAGGACGGGGGTGAAGGGTAATAGGAGCCCATACAAAAAAAAGCCTCAAAAATCAGGACTGTCCCTATAAAATCAGGACATTGGCTCATCCTAAGCTACGTCGATTTGAGTTGCGCTATTTACGTAACTCAAATTGCATAGCTTAGATCGACTTTTCCCTTTAGCGTAGACAAGGCTTAAGATAGTAATAGGAAATGGATGGCAGTTCCCCTATCTTGACTCTCTCCCATCCTAGTTTATTTGTTTTGATAAAAAGAAGGTCTGGATGGTAAATAGGTCAGTGGTACTCAAACTAATTAATGCATCATGATTCACACTCACACACAGAACTTGTATTACTTTATCGGGTGATGAGTTACAGATATTCACATTAAAGACCTTAATATTAACTCCCGGTTTAGCTGAATAGAAATGTGTCAAGAGACGGACTTAAGCAACAATGAGTATTGTGTACATAGTACGCAAGAGCAGAAGAGAAATATGCTCAGTCATTACATTTGAGTAAACTCACATGTTTATGTAGTCCTGCAATAAAAGAACAGATGACGGATTCACAAATAAGCATGAAATAACTAATCAAAATAAATAAATGGGCAGCTATCCAGTGGGCAGCCCCCTCAGGAGCACAGTTATAGAATCCCCTTAATTAAATATTTCAAAAAAATTAAGTATTGAAAGTATTTGTAATATTCCATAATGACACTGTTTTATGCAAAAACTTACTGTCAGAGATCCTAGAGACCATCCCTTCATGACCACCCACTAGGCAACTCCAAGCTTCTGCTGCTCTAGATCCCCGGGATGTGTTAAGCATCTGGAGCGTCAACGGAGTCCAACCACTACCCAAATCTTGGGGTCCCTAAGCACACTCTCAGGGCGCAGACCTTCCATCTGGCACCCTCTTCTGAGTGTTGGAACCTGCTTTCCAGCCACCCTAACCCCTCTAAACACAGCCATGACCCCTCAATACTTAAACACACCGCTGTACCAGAACTCCGCCCAATAGGTGGAAAGCTTCTGGTTTACAATTTAACTCCTTTAGGGGTGTTCAGTAGTTGTGAAGCCAGTTACATACTCTCTCTCTATCTCTCACACACACACCAACTTTCAAAAGTACCAGGGGGTGCTCAATCCCCACCCTGCCTCTTCCCACCTAGTTCCGCCCCATCCCCCAAACGCGCCGCGTCCTCGCTCCCCCCCCCCGCATGCCATGAAACAGCTGATTGCGGCAGCCAGGAGGCGCCAATCTGTGGGGCCCGCCGGTGGGCGGGAGGCACTGGGGGGGCAAAGCTGAGAGGGGGGCTGCCGCCGGTGGGTGCTGAGCACCCATCATTTTTTCCCCTGCAACCCCAGAGCACCCACGGAGTCAGCGCCTATGCACACACACACCACTGTGTTCAATCTATCAATTTTAGGCTCTTTTCTCCTTAAGCACAGGAGAGTACAGATCATACAAAACAATAAAACACTCTAAACGCAGCGTCCCTCACTAGCTCACCTCCCTTGGGAGATCATCTGTGTTCTGTCAGTCAGTCAGGGTCTTTTATCATATTGCCTACTCTGCTCCTGCAGCAGCCTCCCTCATCTTACTCTGGTGCAAGATAGCGCTGTCCCGATTTCCACTTGCCCCAAGAGTCCCTTTATAGACTCCTGCTGGGGACATCTGACTCTTTTGTTCTCCACCTGGTAACTTTCCATTACTTCCAAACTCCTCTTCCGCCTTCAGATAAATGGAGGAAAGGTCTTCACCCAGCTAGAGCAAATCCAGTGTCACAATCCTGTATGTGATGATCACTCACCATTGTCTTTGGCCTGGCTGGCAGAGACATGATACAACCCTGCTAATGCAGCGTTGCTGCATGTGGGTCCCAGGATATTAGAGAGATAAGGTGGGTGAGGGAATATTTTTTATGGGACCAATTTCTGTCGGTGAGAGAGACAAGCTTTCGAACTACACAGAGCTCTTCAATTCCTGGGGCATCCACAGTGATTTCCATGATACAATTTCATAAAATCATCCACAATTCGGAAGTGGTGCAGACAGAATCCACAGTTGATCACACTTATATCAATCATTCATATAAGCAATAATGCCACAGTAAAAACAATGGGATTGGTTTAGCCTTTTGCTTGAAGCAACACTTCCTTGACTCTACCCCTTTCCCGCACCTCCGTACCTGCCTCTTCCTGCTCCAGACGCTCCACAATCCCCTCCCCATCCCTCTCTCCTGCTCCCAAAGTCTGCTCCTGCTCCCCCACACTCTCCCCATCCACCCTTCAGTGTCTCTGCTGCTCCTCACAGTCCCTGACTGCGTCCTGTCCAGCACCCAGACCCATAGAGTGGCAGCCATTTTGCCTATGGGCCTGCCTTCAGTTCAACTGAAAACAATAGGGGGCAGCAGCTAACTTTATAAAGGGCAGCCTCACGTCCAATGCAGATAGATCATAGGGAAATGGCGGCCATCTTGCTGGCCTCGGCCCCACTGACAGTAATAGGAGATGGTGGCTATTTTGAATAAGGGAAACTTTGTGAGTTGGTGCCTTGCATCGTGTTTTCACGAGACAGGTAAAAGCCACCCCAAAATTGCTAGAGTCACGATAAAATCATGGGAGTTGGCAGTACTGCACATGTCCTTCCTTCATCTACAAATCTTTCATGACTTCTCAGAGGAGGGCACCAACTGCCCAATGCACTTCTCCACACTTACTTTTGACAGGTGGCTTGAGCTTCTTTCATTGTGTTTCCTGCATTCAGCATGTCCTGGGCATCAAAAGTCATCATGGCTTGCATTTCCAGTATGGTGGCATATGTCAGTGCGTGATACATACTGTCCTTAGTTCTGTTTAAAAACAAAAACAAAAAACTAATCTTACTTTCAAAACTGTTAAAGACTTGGCCAAATGTCTCAGCGTTTCACGCCTATCTCCCACCTTCCACCCTCAATTTGAATACAATTTGAATACACAGACACTGCAGGATTTCACATGGCACTTTATAAGGCATTTTTTCAATCCTTTAATTATTCTCATGGCTCTTCTCTGAATGGTCTCCAATTTTTCAACAACTGTCTTAACATGTAGAAACCCGAACTGGACACCATATTCCAGTAGCAGTCAAACCTGTGCCAAATATGGAGGTAATATAATCTCTCCACTACTATTTGATATTCCCATTTATACATCAATGGATTCCATTAGCCCTTTTAACCACAGGGTCACACTGGGAGCTCATGTTCTTCTGATTATCCACCTTGACCCCCAAGTTTCCCCTCCCCCCTCCCCCAAGTCACTACTTCCCAGGAGAGAGATCCCCATTCTGTAAACGTGGCCTGCACACTTTGTTCCTAGAGATAGGACTCTACATTTGGCTGTATTTAAACACATTATTTTCTTGCACCTAGCTTACCAGGCGAAGTGCCTCGCTCTGTATCAATGACTTTATGTTCTTCATTTTTACCATTCCCACAATCTTTGTGTGATCTGCAAACTTTATCAATAATGATTTTATGTTTTCTTCCAGGTCACTAATAAAAATATTAAATAGTGTAGAGCCAAGAAATTATTCCTGGAGGCGTCCACTAGAAATACATACATTTAATGATGACTACCCATTTACAATTATATTTTGAGATCTACCAACTAGCTGTTCTTTTTTCTATTAATTAATTTTTAAAATATATTCAGAGGATGTGATGGAGATTCCCACAACTGAGTCATTCTTTTTAGGTGGCAAATCTGAGGAACTCTCCCAGATTGGTCCATAGATGTGGTTTGGGAACAAACTGATAAATTAAACAGTAATAAGTCACCAGCACCAGATGGTATTCATCCAAAAGTTCTGAAGGAACTCAAATATGAAATTGCAGAACTACTAACTGTAGTATGTAACCTATCGCTTAAGTCAGCCTCTGTACCAGATGACTGGAGGATAGCTAATGTGACAATTTTTTTTAAAAGGCTCCAGAGGTGGTCGTAGCAATTACAGACCAGTAAGCCTAACTTCACTATAGTTTCAACCAGTTTGCCTGGTACTGAAGAACAGAATTATCAGACTCTTAGATGAACACAATATGTTGGGGAAGAGTCAATACAGTTTTTGTAAAGGGAAATCATGCCTCATCAATCTATTAGCATTCTTTGAGGGGGACAACAAACAGGTGGACAAGGGTGATCCAGTGGATATAGCTTACTTGGACTTTCAGAAAGCCTTTGACAAGGACCATCACCAAAGGCTCTTAAACAAACTAAGCAGTCAGAGAAAGTCCATTCTGGCTTTAGGCAGGAAAAAAACATGGCACATCCCTTGAAGGTCACAACCACTGTTGCATCATTGGCCATCACAGTATTAAATGTAGAACTTTACCTATAATGAAAGCCTTTCACACTCCCTGTCTAAACTCCTGTTTTTGTTTGCCTCCTGAGGAGTTTGGCTGGCAACTGACTTCTCTGGGAAACCTCATTGCTCAGCTCCTTTCCCTCACCAATGGGGAGGGATTAATTACTCAGAGACTTAAAAAAACAGAGCTGATCACAGACCCAAGGGTCCCAGACTCAAGCCTCACAGAGACACGAACAAACAGACCTGGCTTACCTACTCTGTTGAGGGCCCCAAAGCCCAGCCTCATGGAGAACAACCAACAGACCAGAAACACACCCCAGGGGACTGTGGACCCATGGTTGAGCACTGCTGCTCTAGAGCTCTGCGTGGATACAAAAATTTAGATCCGCATCCAATCCGCAAAGACGTAAACAATACAGTCACAGAGGCAGATATTCATGGATATAAAGCAGATAATCCATGGATTTTCAGGGTTCTAGAAACAAGAGGTGCAGAGCCCAACAGATAACCAGGCTCCATGTTTCATTTCAAGAGTTTGGCTTGCAAAGGGACATTCACCTACATCTGATATAGAAAAAGCTTTTTGACTCCCATCCTACATAGGTGTAAATGGATGTGTTAGGCAGGAGCTACCCAGAATCCTCCGCTTTCCACTTATTTGCCACTCAAGAACAGTAATGTGCCCAAGCTGCAAACAGAACTACAGATGGTTTGGTTTCATCATTAGCATTCCATGAGGTTCAATTCTCGGGTTATATCATCCATGACAAAATTCCAAGGAGAGCAAACCAGCAGTGGGTCCGATACACTGAGTATTAAATAAAGAGCAGAGGATAATCCTGAGATTTTTCTCTAGTACTGAAACTGACCTGTAGTTCCTTGAGAGAACAGTAATTAGTACATCCAGGCCCAGAAGTTGTTGAACCCTGGATCTTATAACATGTAATACATGTAACATTTTTCAAGCCAGTATCATATCTCGGATGAGGATGTATCTCTGATGCAGAGGTGATTGTTGGAGTTTATTTAATTTCAGAATGGGCTCTTCCGTATAGTAGACAAAGGTATAACAAGATGCCATGGCTGGAAGTTGAAACTAGACAAACTCAGACTAGAACTAAAGTGCACATTTTTAACAAACTGGATGTTTTTCTGGTTCAAACAGGAATGAATTCAGTAAAGTCCTATGGCCTGTGTTATGCAGGAGATCAGAGTAGATGATCACAATGGTCCTGTTTGGCCTTTTCTGAATCTATACCATTGAATAAGAACTGTAACAGCTTTTAGGAAGAGGCCTAAAGCCGCATGTTGGATCTTGATCAGCATCACATGTAAAAAGAGGGATGCAAGAGAGTAAACAGGATCTACAAGTTCCAGAAATCAACTGCACCGGTTTCAGCAGAAAAGGCCAAAGGAAGAATGCATTACGGAGACCGAACCTTTCGATCCTTAGAAATAGCCCATCAGAGCAGGGCTAAGCAGACTGGCAGACCAATGAAGAGGAAAAAAGTTTATCATTCCTCTGCCTATGCTGCAGTGTTCTACGTGCAGAGGACTTCCGTCTCAATTCCATACTTCTCATGAGTGACTAGAGATTCGCTAGTAATAAAGAATAATAGTAAAGAGTTGAAAACAAGCCAGTCCAATAAGAAACCCATTTTATGCAAGTCAAGGCACAATTTAACAAAAACCTCTCTCCTCCAACAACCAGGGCTTCACCATTGTTTTCTAAAGCACACTAGCTTGATAACAAATTAGTGCAAACTGAGCCTCAATTAAATTATATCCCTCTAAAATAAGTGTTTTATCGACTTAGTTGAGTCATATTGCCCTAATCTTTTTATACGAACAGATACAAGCTGTGCCTTCCCATTTAGTCTTTTTTAATCAGAAGTTTCTGCCACTAGTACATGATCTGTTTGCTCTCAGCTATTGCCAGAATTACACAAAAATAGGAGGCTAACGAGCAGGTTTGTATAAATAATAAATACTAATCTGTGCTTCTGTAACAACAGCTTTCCTCTGAGGATCTTCTGATCTACACTAGCATATGGAAGTGCAGAAGCAGGCCAGCCAGTATTTTGGACATTTTCTATCAGTGTTATTAAAGCCCTCATGGGGGAGACAAATCAGTGTAATTTTATAGCTAGACTCCAGAGAACGGTAAAACCAGATTTGCCCCTTCCCACCAATTCCCCTGCAACGCTGGCTGACATTTCTGTAGTGCATGTAATCCAAATGATCCCAAAGCTCAATAACTTTTACCTACTAATTACAAAACTATATGTATAGGACAGAATCATTTTACTCATCCAATTGAAATGCAGTCATTTTGGGGGTGAAAGAAAGTAGACTTTAAATAAAGAACAGCTACAAAAGAGTTCAGAGCAATGGGACAAAGCACTGAGATCTGCCAGATGCGTCAGCAGTCTGATCACTGAAGCCTCAATTAGTTCCCCCCGGAACGTCTGACTGAATAATGAGCTAATCAGAAGGAGAAGCTGGGGAGGTAAGGAACTAATTAGCCCCCAAGCTGACCAACAGGATAAAAGGTGGGAGGTGTTACCGAGGAGAGGGCTAGCTGAGCCTGGTCTGAAGGAGCTCCCTAGAGAGAGGGAGACCTCCTTTCCTCCTAGGACCCTAGCCAAGAAATGTTGAAAGAAGTAGAGGTTCAAACTGTGATGTTGCACTATATGGGTGTTGGTGGGTGGGTTTAGAATAAAATATAAACTGCACCCAAGAAGAAAGTGCGTCTGAACAGTTTCTAAGGCATCACAGGATGGGGACAGAGCGTGGCCCTGTCACAGGCAGAAAGTGAAGAATACCATATCATACTGAAACTACATGTGAATTTTTGGTTTGGAGAATGTAATTTCCTAGTTGGAATGTGGCCATGACATGGGATTAAAATCCTGAAGAATGGAGCCATGGCACCTTTAATGACCACAAGTATTCAGGATCCTGGTTTTACATTACATCCAAAAGTTGTCATGAGCAAACACTGGCTAGGCAGGTATTTGTAGAGAAGCCTATAAAGGTAGGAACCCTGTCCATAGCAGGTGATGCCAGTTTCACCCAGGGATAAAACCAATCTGGCTGAGTTTCAGTCATTAAGACTGGAAGAGTGATGATAGATTAGGGGAAGCAGGAGGAGGATCTGGTGAAGATTACATCAACCCGGCTGATGGAAGGTATTTATCCAACACTTGTGACTCAGGCTTGCCAGTTAGGTGCATTGCTAGATCCCCAGCTGTTATGTGATCATATAACTCAGCAGCAGCGCCCAGAAAGGCTTTTATTCGTCCACATCTGCACAGGAAGTTGTGACCTTTTCTTTCGGATAGCCACCACGATCCATGCCTTTATCTCCTCCGGATTAGACAACTACAACGTGCCACTCACTCCTTATGGCGCTACACTGTAAGTTCATTTAGAAATAGAAGCTGGTGCACAATACATCAGCCTGTGTATTAAGTAGTGTACCCCACCAGCACTTTGGGAGCTTCATCCACTTCCGTCAGGTTTCTGGGTGGAGGTAAAGGTGTGTTGACTGCAAGCTCGAAAGGGCTTGGAGCCTTCCACCTGAGAAACCAACCCTCTTCCTGTGAGACATTGCCACGGTTACAATCAAGTGATGCATTAGAGCAGGAACTTTCTTGCTTAACAAGAAAGGGAGCAGTTGGCAGGGTGGTCCTCTATAACGGCCCTTCAACTTTCATATTCATTCCCATCCTTTCTTCCAAAATAGCTCAGATTTGTTGACCTCGAGGCACTTACTTTTGCATACTTTGAAGGCTTTTTTGTTAATTGTTAGGGTGGCTGACGGTTGGGAAAGATTAATATTCTACATAAAAAATGAAATAAAAATAAAACCTCAAGGCCCAGGTCTGCATGGTGAAGAATAGGTCACGAATTGGACCCTACAATTAGGACAAACATTATTGGTGGAGAGAAGAGGGAAATTGGCTCTAAAATCTAAAAAGCAACAACCAAAAGATCTTTATGTAATCTGAAGAAGGAAGCCACATAAATATGTTAATGAAACTAGATCTGCCTTTCTGATACGCTCTTCTATCAGGAACAGAGATTTTATCACTACACAGAAGCACCCAGACACCTTCCCAAGGCATTTATTTTTAAACTGCTAGGAAAGACCTGTCAGTTAAAGCTCTGTCTCAGCTGCTGCAATAGATATTGTCATATATGCAGAGTCTAGTTCTGCTCTCAGTTACACCTGATGCAAATGAGATGAAGATTAATGGAGCTAAACTGATTTTTAGATGCCAAACGTGGCTAAATTGGTTATTTCAGTGGAATTGCAATGGTGTAACCCAGAACAGAATATGTCCCACACCATAAGTGATAAATCCACAAAATCTAAAACAAAGAATTATTGGGACAACAGGTAAGAATTCTGAAAAATAAATACTTTTACAGGCTGTGCAAACCCATTTCAAATCTCAGCATGCTAAAAAGCAACAATGAGGAACTGATGCCCCACCCCCAAAGAAAATGTTGCCTATTATTACACATCCCATTCCCACAACTATTGTCATTCCCTAAAGAGATAGCGTGTGTCTGTAACGAAGATCATTTGTATTGCCTGTGGTGTCAAGGGCTAAGGGGTTGGGGGCCTCCCTTTGACAATGGACTTAGATGAAAGATCGGTTTGAAAATGGTTTTGCAATTAAATAAATTCATATTCAAGATGTGAGGATATAAAGTCAGCTCGTGAAATGAATTCAACAGGGCCCTATGAAAACAGAATGGAAACTATATGCAATGAACGAGAATAAAAATGGATGGATAGACAAATATCTAGGCCCCTTCACAACAGGGGTCTCAGTGTCACTTTTGCAGCATTTTACTATCCCCCTTTTCTTTTTTAAATACAAAATAAACATACCCACATGGGCACAGGGACATTTTGCATGTGATTTCGGTGAAAATAGTGCTGCTCTTGTTAACATTTCGTGACAACCTCCCACGCTACAAAAACACAACACTTCAGCACTGGGAATAAGGCAGATATCATCCCAAACCACTAGAAAGCTCACCGACTCCACAATTTGCCAAAAGCACATTTTACACAGTATCACCAACAGTGCAACCTACAAAGCCAGTACCTTTGGTATCGAGGAGTGGGGTCCGTGCCCAAATAAGGTAGGTATATCACACCCACTGGAATGAATCCTTGACACATACCAAGCATAACAGCACTTTCCTTTGGTGGCGCCTGCTGTGACAGGCAGGGTGGACAGGGAGAACAGCAGGAAAGAGATGCACAACACTGAGATTTATTTTATATGGAGGCGGGGCGTGAGGCTGGCTGAAGCAATAAATGGGGGAAGTGCAGCTGCTGCGACTTGGTGGCCCAGCTGCTTTTCTGTATATCTCAGGCCCATCCCAGCTCTGAGCAAATGCAAAAAGACTTATAAGGCAGCCATTTTGTTTTCTTTTAACTCTTGCACACCAGTGACTAGAGTCCAGATTGTCTCCAGCCCAACAAATCACTGATTTCACAGGGTACTTGTAAATGGAAGCAGTTTAGGATGAAAGAAAGTGACATAGCAAAGCGCCAAAGCAAGAACTGACCCTATATCCAATTGTGTTCACTGTATACATCAGCAACTTGAAATAAGGAAGGAGCAGTGTTGAAATCTGCTGATGGCACAACACTAGGCAAAACAACCTGTGGCAGCAGGGGTGGGAGCTGGCAATAAAATACAAAAGGACTTGGGAAGCAAAGGACTCAGGCAGATGCAAGTTAAAGTATGAAAACTGTGGGAATAAAGAGAGACACAAAAAATTTAAAAAGTGATCATATGCCCTCATTGCTCGTAACCAGGGTTGTGTGTATAATGCAATTTTGCAACTGTCAGCATGGCTACAGTGGCGTGTGTGTGTTTTAGTTGCTGCATAAATGTATTTCAGAAGCAAAGCACTCCTTTAACAAAATTAACTCTCTAGCCTTCAAGGTCACAAAGAAAACCTTTCAAATGTCAACTGAGATCTTGTCTACTCTGGGAATTGGCCCCAAATCCAACAATCAATTGATGGCCAGCCACTGCACCACTACAAACCCCAAATACAGGCAAGGGAAAAAATCAGATTTACTCTGCTCCTCTTTACACAAGGGAACATTCAATAAGATTTAAAAGGTGCAAAATTCAAACCGAGAAAAGGAAATTAATTACCTATTGTGTGAAAAGATACTATGGCAATGAGTTAAGGCGTTTAAGGCCAAGATCTCAACAAGATTCAAAAAAGGGATGGGACATTTATATGGGTAACAAGAATATCCAGACTTACCATAATTATAACAATTTTTTGTAGAAGGGATATTAAACCCCATGCTTCAGGGCTTAATCCAATCTCAATCTATTATTAGAGATGAGGATGAAATCTATTACGAGTGGCAAGTTACCTTACATCTGCCTACTGCAGAGTCTCTTAATTTCCTCTGAAGCAACTGGTGCTAGCCACTGTCAGAGACCGGACACTGGAGTAGATGGATCTTGGGTCTGATCCAGTATGACAATTCTTACTTTCCAATGAGTTTACCCTAGTTTCAAGCAGGGTTGAGCTCCACTGAAGCTGTGGCTTTCTTTGTCTACACTTGGGTTTACACTGAGACAGCTACATCAATGGCACTTGATCCTACAACCTGGCCTTATCTAAGTTGCTGAGTAAGGACTATTCACATAGGATGATTAATTAGTTTTAATTTTCTAAGGTTTCTCCATTGCTTGTGGGATTATCACTGAAAGGGCTGATGGAAGAAGTGTGCTCGGGGAAGGATATGTATTTGGATGGAGATCATTAAAGGAGGAAGCGGCATGGAAGAAGGCATAAAGTGGAAAGGAGAAAAAACAGTTGTCAGATGGAAGGCATCAAAGGAGCTGAGGCAGTGGAAAGAAATGAGCAGAGATAAAGGAAGAGATGTTCAGAAATGTGAAAGTGAGGACAAGGAGCATGAACTGGGAAAAGGGAAATAGCATCAAAAGTGAAAAGTTATTGGTTCAGGTTTTATACTCTGACATGTTAATGACACAGACAAGGAGAGATTGCTTTCAACTATGATGTATAACCTGATAACATTTTTTTTCAGTTATGTTCCTTGTAACAAACTGTGACAGAACCTGTACTCATTGGTAAGAACAACTAAGAACCAGGTTGCATGTTACAGAACATACTGTTTGGTAAGGAAGAATAAACATTTCATTCATCATAGGCTTGTCTATATGGTGCTTTAGTCCACACCAGAGGGATTCATCTGACGAAGTGGGTATTCACCCACGAAAGCTTATGCTCCAATACATCTGTTAGTCTTAAAGGTACCACAGGACTCTCTGTTGCTTTTTACAGATCCAGATTAACACGGCTACCCCTCTGATACTTGACACCAGAGGGATGTAAATTTTAATCTGTACTAGTTTGTTGTGCACTGCCTGGCTTGTGTAGACCCTGCTGACATGCACAGAAAGTTCTCTACTGGGCTTTAATGTAGTCCTGCTTCAAATAGTACTACATTAACCAGCACTAGGGAACTTTTAGCGAATGCCAGCAGGGTCCACATGGATAAGATAGTCCACACTAGCTTGTCATGCACTAAAATTCACACCCTCCTGGTGTGGACTAAAGCACCATATAATAACCCCAAGATGTTGCGGATATGGCAGCTGCACAAAGTACTATAACCACTGATCAATACCATGCCATTTACCTGTCTCGGGGGGGGGGGGGGGAATCTTTCCTTCTTCCAACACCAGCAACTTGCTATGTACAACCTAAAAGGTTATTTTATTTTCCCACCTCCTCCAATCCAAAAGGAATATTATTTATCTGTCTAGTGCTCAAAGTGTAGTGGCAGTTCTAATGGACGATGAAGAAAGCAAAGAAAAAAACAAAGCAAAAAGCTGGTAAAAGTATTCAACTTACTTCGCTTGCAGGGAAGCAAGGGCCTCAGGAAATTTGTTGCTTAGAAATAAATCCACAGCCATCATACATTCATCCAGGGCTACATTCAGGTCTGACGCAGATCTGTCAAAAAAAATATTAAAGAATGACAAAACCTACTACTTCCAATCCTGTTACTGAGCTTCTCATTTCTTGTAATGACAACATTTATGAGAAGTCCACTAATACACCACATAACAACTAACCCCCTAGCTTTGTAGTAAATATGCTGTCAGGAAATCAGAAATTAGTTATCACTTTAGATATTCCTTTATCTGTCCCTCATTCCCTCTCTCTCTCTCACACACAGCCTCCACCCATCACCTTCTGGTCAGTTTCTACTATAAGATCTTAAATCCCTTTGCATTAGGTTTGTAAGACACTGCCCTCTTGTCTTGGTGCCATGTTATCATATACAGACAGCATGTCACCACCTAAAGATGCACCATCCCCACATTATGACATTTTCAGATTCAAATTAAATCCAAGGCTCATTAAACTGCCCTGCAGATTCTAGGCTCACTGATCAGAATTGAGATCAGCCCATAAATCTTCGGATTGGTGGTAACCCTTCATTCAGTGCCATTCCTGAGCTAGTAAAAAAAGCTACAAAGACAAAGTGGTCCCTGCCCCAGAAGTAGAGAATAAGCAGTGCTCTTTGCCCCCTTTCACCCTGGAACAAAGGACTAAACGGACCCGAGATGGGACCCAAGCCGCACAGTTCAGGTGGTGGTTAAATGCAGGGTTTTGGTTTGGTCCATTATAGAAATAAGGACCAGCTGCAAAGTCGGGATCCTTACCTAAATGTTTCCAAAGTTTGGTGATGGTTGTGTAACCCACACCCCTCCGGGGTGTGGTGTTCTGACCCATCTAGTGGCACCGAGACCAGAGACAGAGATATTTTTTTATTTATATATATAGCCTTAGCTAAGACCCATGCAGTAGAGGCTCATGCACTAAGCTCTGGAGGCCTCAGGTTCGATCCCGCCTGCCGATGACCTGGGTCTGTCGGCGTTACAAGTGGGGGTGCTTGTCCGGGATTTCAGTTGGGAAGTCTCTGAAGCGTGGAACACGCTTCCTCAGCTAGGGGAAGTATGTAACCACACACCTCCTGGGTGTGGTGTTCTGTCCCATCTAGTGGTGTTCTGTCCCATCTCACTTACAGAGAGAGAGATTAAGGAGTCTGCTCTACAGCTTTCGCTAAGCCATATGGCTTTTAGCTCATGCACTGAGCTCCAGAGGCCCCAAGTTTGATCCCGCCCACTGACAACTTGGGTGTCGGTGTTACAGTTGCATCCAGGGTTTTGGTTCAGATCCATCTCTAAGATATCCAAAATTAATAAGGGCAGAACAACAACAACAACAAAACTGATCAGACCCTTCCTTTACCCTACCTACCCTGTAAGATGAGAACAAGAGCTCTCAATGAAATTAAGGAAAATACTTCTTCATACAGCTTGCTATCAGTCTATGGATTTCATTACTGCAGTGGGATCAGAATGTCAAATACTGTGCCTGGATTATTTTATAATAAAAACATTAGTAGTTAAGCATGCTAGAATATGGTATAAGCTGATCATTGCAGAGATCAGAAAGCAATCATCCCTTCAACATGCAGCATAACTGGCTAGTTGCAGCAGGGTTCCCCCCCCCCATCTTCTGAAGTCACTGCTTGAGACAAAATACTGGATTTGAGGGACTAATGGTCTCGGACAGCATGGAAACGCCTACATACATTGTTGCTGGAATGGCCTCGTGGCAGTACTGTTTAACCCACATTTTGTGCGGCCATCGACCACAAAGTATGAGAAAGAAATAAGTCACTACAGCTATGTATATTCAAATCAATTCAAATATCAGCCCCAATGTGCTAGTTTGAGTAAAAAATAGCTGCAATATGCAGGTGAAAAACCAAATGCAGCATACCGTAATCAGAGGATTACTTCAGTGCCTTACCCTGACTGCATCGGTTTTCTTTAGGAGACTCTGATATTATGGCCTGATGCGTCAGGCCAATCTTTGATGAGTGCTTCTCAGATGGTCTCAGAATGACTGGTAATGAGATAATAGACCAGCTGAAAAGTTCTGGCCAAAGTTCAACACAAGACATAAAATTGTTGTACATGAAATGGCAGAAAGAACAATAGACTTTGCACTGGCAAGGTTAATGTACCCTGGGAAATGTCGAAACAGTTGAAATATGGGTATTTTGCACCTTTTAAAGAAAGACTAGATTTCATTAGTAAATGGTGCACAAGCTAGTTTGGGTAATTTTTACGAAGTAATAAAGACTCATTTTCTCCTCCATCTCTCCCTGACTTTGGTTGCTCTAACTAGCAAACTGTCTTGTGACTTGGAATCTGTTGCTTCCTTTTAAAAAAAAATTGCAAACATATAACTATCAAACTGAAAAAGAAATAGACCTCGAAAACAGGAAGTGTGCTAACAATATCACCCTAATGAGAAAAAGATCAGAGCTCAAAATAAGGCAACGAGAGGTTAGTAATTACACTGAGGACTTTGCAATAATTTTTCTTTACAAAGCAAAACACTTTATTGAAGAAAAACAGCATGATTTTTTCCATGCTCAAGAACCAGGCTTAGAAATTTGAGAGAAACACATTATGTGACAGTGTCTCATAGCGCCTGTATCTTCACACTTTTCAGTTGTGCTACCTATTGTTCTGCTCCTGGAAGGATTTCAGACATT